AATTTGGGGATGGAATTTAGGATCTGAAATTATAAATTCCACACACGCCCGCTGCTAAATGGTAGCGCAGTGCTTGACTTGTTGCTGCACTAAGGTGTTTTCCAACCCAGATAAAAAAGTCTTCTCACCATGTCCTGGAGAACCAAAGGACCTAAGATAATGAAATTTTAAAATATCTTTATATTACCATAACTTATACTGTTTTAAAACTCATCTTTTTTTTATTCCTCATTGTGGATTTCTACCACTTTAAACCCGATTTTCCCCAATGGCTGGACAGAAATTTTTCTTCCTCGATGCACCCTGAAGCACCCAGCATGATGTGAAATGAAAAATGCTCTGAGACGAAAAATACAGAAAACGAGCTTTCCAAAATCTCTGTAATTGTCAATAAATAAATTCAAGTAGCAGGGCTCGATGGATTGATTTATATCAGGAGCTCTTAACAGAGCTGCCCAAGCAGAAATCCAGAGCAAGGCCGTGGAAAATCAGGCCTCAATCAAATGTTTAATCCCAATTTACTGAACAATTCCTTTCTTTCCCTCAGGAGCATAAAGCAAATCATTTTCAGACCTCACCCTCCTGTGGATGGATGGAAATCATGACCTGAACTAAGGACTTTCCCCTTTCCCCAAAATATTTGGGCTCTTTGGTGCCAGAATCCATCAAACCTTTAGGAACACAGGGTTCACTGGGGTTTTGATGAGAAATATAAAGATTTCTGAACTTTAATATTCTGATTTTTTTTTTTAACTGTTCACATTGATTTAATGATGAAAAATTTGATTTTTCTTGTAGCTCCTTGAATCCCCCAAAGAAATCCAACCTGCTGGAGCTCCATGGACATCTGGGACCTCTCTCCGTGTCCTCTGACAAAAATCAGAGTTTGAATTATTTTCTCTGATTTTCTTTAGAGCCCATTGCTGTTTCCCCAATTCCACGGCATTGCCACCACAAAAACCCCCTAAACCCCCCCAAAAAGCAAACCCAGAGATAAAATCCAGCTCGTTTTTAATTCCTCTTTTGCCCTCTGGAAGAGGAACCAGCCTCGCATTGCGTCCTCGAGTTGCAGCTCGAGATTTTCCTTCCTCTTAACATTTTCTGACTTCAGCCCAGGCAGTTACAATCGGCTGAAGTTTTTCACAACCTGATTTTATTTCTCTTTTCTGATCTGTTCTTTCTTTAAAAACAGGACCAGCAGCTCCTTTACTTGATCCAGCCCTGATTTTTATTCCCCAGCCACAGCCACCTCCCAAAATACGAGAGAATTCTCCATTTTCAGGTATTTCACAGCTTTTTTTTTTCCACACAGCCTGAGCTTTTCACTTCTGTCCTCTCCCTTTGCTTACCCCTAACCCTGGTTTTCACTTCCACATGCAAAGCTAAAATCTCTGGGTCAAAATTCCCTCTTTACATCTTGATTTCAGTTTCCTCTTTCCCCGTTCCTCCCCAGCCCCGATTTTTGGGTTTTTGTTCTCCTCTCTGCGCTGTAATTTGATTTTTTGGGCCTGCACTCAGCTTGCCTTTTCAGATTTCTCTGATTTTGGCAGAAATGAGGCCCTGCTGGAAATGCTGAAGCTTGGAAATCATCACAAAATCAGCAACTCTGCAGCCAGTTCTTAAAAAATCCTGCAAAACCTTGATGCTTTCACATCTAATAGACAAAAAACAGGGAGAAGGGAAAATCAGGGCAGTACCCTGCCATGCAAATATTGAATTTAAGGGAATTTATGCCCGGATTTTAAGCTTTCATTAAGTTTTTCATGGATCCAGGGCCAGTTGTCTCTGACAGAAATATTTTAAAGCTTTCAAATCCCAACCTCGGTGAGAAAAAATGGGAAGAGAATTCTTAAAACCGATTTAAAAACTGACCCAGCCCAGAAAAGAAACTGGACTTGAAAGTCACAGACAATAGAAACAGAAATACAAATATTTACATTAGAAAAAAGACTAAACAGATAAGCTGGGACTTGTTTCTGGAGCTATCAAGGACTTGGTTGTACTTTTTACCTCTAAAAATTTGTATTTCCCGAGGAGCAAGAAGAATATCGGTCTTGCAGTGCAGTGGGGAATCTAAATTTACTTCTCCTGCATCAATTAATCCAAATTGGCCTCTTAAATGTAGATTTGGATTCTTAACAGCTTTTGGACAATGAATTGACACGGCACCTTATTGGTTGTTGTGAATTATTTTTCAAGTTGCTCAGAATCATTCTTAAATTTAGGAAAAACCAATGAAAATGGATCACTTTGGTTTGAAATAATATCCCAATCCTGCAGATTTTTTAATGGATTTTTCTAAATGTGAGGAGAAAAGTCTCTGCCTGCCTCTTTTTATTCCCACAGTGAATAAAAATAACAAATACTCGATAAAACTCAGTGCTTTTTGTCAGATACAAACCAAAATATCGGCAGCAGAGGAATGATCTGAAGTGAATTTATTTTTCTTTTCCTAGGCCAAATGATCTGAAAAATCACGAATTTTTAAAAATGGCTTTGCAAATACTCAATATTTAGTAGAAAACCACTGAGATGCAGCAAATCCTTTCGGGATTTATTTCTCAGACATCCACGGAGAGAGAATTTGGGGGGAAGATGAAGAGCAGGGAGCCAGCAGGTGCCTCCCAGCCCACCCTTCCAGCCTCTCCTCCTGAAACCTTCTCCTCATTTGCGGGTGGGTTTGGTTAATTTTTTTGTTTCATTTTATTTTTCTCATGGTTATTTCCAGGTGGAATTATCCCAGTTTTCCAAACTCCTGGAGAAGCAGCGTTTGGAGCGGGGCGAAGGCTGAGGCTGCTGGGGACAGAGGAGGGAAAGCGGCTGCGGGCATCTCTGAAAACCCCTGGAATTTTTTTCCACGGGCGATTTCCACCTCGCCGGGGCATTCCCAGGGATGGGACGGGGATCGGGCAGGAGAGGGAAGAGCCACTTCTCCCGTCCTTCCTCCGGGATGTCACCCGCAGTGGGATCCCCCAGGAAAAATCGGGATTTCCCTTCTCTTCTCTCCCTTCCCGGCGGGGCGGAGCGCCTTTCACTCCCGCATTTTTTCCAGCAGGAAAACTTCCCGGCTAATTAGCAGCCCGGTGCGTGGGGAAGAGTGTAATAATTAATCTAAATGTGGGAATTTCGGAAGTGACCCCGTGGCCGGTTCCTCCCTTTGCCCCGCTCTTATCTGCGGCAAACGAGAGCAGACACAATAAAACTTTTCCCTCCTCAGCAGGAATTCCCGACGCTGAGCTGATTCCCTTCTCCCTCGTTTCTCCTCTCCCCAAAACACGGGAAAGGCTCGAGCCTGGTGGCCTTCGACACACACAAAAATAAAAAGGTTATGCTGAAGCAACCGGGGTTTAGCGACCGCATAAAAAGAACATTTTTTTTTTTTTGGCTTGGCAAATCCCGATCCTAAATCAAGCCCCGGGGCTCCCGGGAGCTGCGTGTCCGTGCGGCTCCCGGCTCGGAGAAAAGGATCACGAGAAGAATTCCCAATTTTTTCCTCCCCTCGTTCGGGAGCCAAGCTACAGCAGCAGCGAGAAAACAGCGAGCTCAGGGAGGCAGCGACAGTCCCGGCTCAAAAAAACAGCGGGAGCCACGGGAGGAGGAATTTACTCCAAGGGAGGAGGAATTTACTCCAAGGAGGGAGGAATTTACTCCAAGGGGGGAGGATTTTACTCCAAGGGAGGAGGATTTTCCTGGGAGCCGCGTAACGGGAAGGGAGGAAAGCGCCACAAGCATCCCCCGCACGGCTCGGGACAGGAGGGAGCCGGGATGTTCTCTCCCATTCCCTCTCCTCATCTTTTTCCCGGATTTTATTTGGATTTAGCAAGGGACTCTGCGAAAGGAGGGAGAGCTCCGAGAGGTCTGCCCGGGTTAGGCCGCGACTTTTGCTGCTGTTAAACCGGGCCACTAAAAGAGGAAATGTGGTTTTTTGGGATTG